GGAGGGCTGGTGGCATTCCTGGACACCACAACCACAAACTGACCATCCCTGGTGCACTGCACAGTCACTGAGGGGATACAAAGGCTGGATTCAGTCCCATTATAAAAAAGGAGTCCTGCTCTGAAGTGCTCAGGTTACACAAACCCACCATCATTCCCATAGTAGCAGCGCCTCTGGCTTGTCTGATCAAAGCAACAGTTTCCTGCTTCACAGTCGGCTCTCGTGACGGTCGGGTCTCCACACACCACCTTGTCATTATCGCTCACCAGACATTTCTGATTCTGGGCTAGAGCCACATCCAGCAACACAAAAAGCCAGGCACACAGACTCCACACTTTCCCACTAACCCCAGACTTCTCCATAGCAGAACTCGGAGAGGAACTAGAGGAAAGCCGCGCTCAGCGCCTTAAGTTCTCTCTGCGCGCTGATTGGCTGAGCTCGGCGATTGGACAGCAGCAGGCTGAAGCGGGCGCACGAGGACGTCAGACGCTCTGCGCGTCTCCAGGGTCAGGAATTGAGTCCAGGTGCGCAGATCGCTCTGCTGGTTTTCCCCAGTGTCATTTTTAATACTCTTCGCTGCCGTTTGGCTGCGGGGTGTAGGGTCGTTTGTCTTAGTACGCAGCTCTTTATTTAATACCAATTCTCAACGAATTTGGCTGTAGTAAGGAATCTCCAGCTCCGATGCCACAGAATCGCTGGTCTCATGTTGGTTATTGAGAATTTCTGGGGTTCCTATGAGAAGATGACTTGTAGGTGGTACTTGGATGCTTTGGTTTGATCAGGGGTGTTACCTGGTCCAAAAAGTTTGAGAGCTACTGCTCTAGGATACTCAAGTACGGGATTAAGTCAGTACAACTCTTAGTGTTTTCGTACCGTACTAAGCGGAACACGGGATCGCAAGGGAAAGTTTCGAATGGAGCAGCCGTTAATTACTGAAGTCATATTTTTATTACGTAAATACGTAAAGTCATATTTTTAATACGTAAAGCTTTTAAGCTTCCGTCGCTGCGAATTTTGTTGTATATTTAACTAACATTGTATCCTAACTGCAATATAATAGACCTACAGTACTCCTCATGTTTAAAGTAAAGAAAGGACTCGTCAGTATTACATCTACTAATAAACATATTAGTCTGTGCTACAGAGCTGTTAGATATGCTGGTTACTGAGATACGTTAATGTGAAGAAGTGAACTAAAATCTTGGTAAATATAACTAAAATGGACATATACTGTACATGAAATCAAAGTCACGTACTTCATATAATACATACTGTATCTGTATTAAACATGTCTGTATTAACATGACATACCGGACATATTCCATATACTTCATTTACTGTAATACATGTATTGTAATCTATACTACACGTACCATAACACCTGGGTGTCACTTGAGTATTTGTTTCGCTGTTCATTGCGCGGGGTCTCCACAGTGTTAGTTCTTAGGGTGAAGCGAAGGTATTGAGGGTCAGGGTTACAGTGGGTACAATGTGGTACTTTATGTAGTTAAAGTGAAAGGGTTATACTGTATAAAGAAAGATACCTTGTATCGCAGTCTATGCTATAATAGAATAATCTTCGAAAACTCGTGGTCATTATCAAAACTATCGAGACCCAACTAGCCCGAACGGTCTGATTTCGTACACGTAGACGAAGCCCAAGCCTGTCATAAAAATGAGTTAAGCGTTAAGCTGTGTTGCTGTTAAGCGCCTCAGCATGTCTTTATCATATATATATAAAAATATAAATACTGTATACTGTTAACCCACTGTGTCGCCGCATGATCTAATTCAAACAGCATCCGTTTACTTTTATTGAATATCGCATCGGTCTGTGAGAGCCCCATCTGGAATATTTTAGTATACTTACATTTATTAAAACCTTACATAAAATGATCACGATCATTCAGCAATGAATACGACAAAATATCACCTGAAGAAGGCTTCACAACCGAAACGTTGTGTTTCTTTTCTTCTCTTTTCAGCATGGAATAAACCTTTACTTGTTCCTTTGCAGCCTATGCAGGCTGACGCAGCTACAGTACCTACTTCAACTACATATTATCTCACTGGTACGAATGATTCGATATTCCAAATCAGAGCACCCTTTAGTTTCTGCTTGGGAAAACAAACAAAAACAATCATATTACCGCACTAAGCACTGGCTCGATGGTCTCCTGCTTTATTCCGTTTGTTCGTTACAATTAGGTTGGAGATTTACAATTAAGATGTCGCATTTGCTCCCAATGCATTAACAAGTCGTGAATAATTTTCTCTGGATTTACAAGATTTACAGCACGTAGCACTCAAAATTAGAAGTTCGTGGCTGGAGAGTCAAATTTAAATGCAACGCAAATACTTTATTACAACACGCTGCTCTATTTGACCTGCAAAGTAATGGATCCTGAAGGCGCAGACATTCAGGCACGAACCTGAGTGAGCGTGGTGAATTACCCCATCTCCTCCATTTTCAACCAAGTCGATATCACCGTGGAAGACCAGGTGATCAGTCAGAGTGAAAACGTTTATCCTTATAGTGCCTTTATAGAGTGCATGCTCAATTACAATGAAGAGATTCTGAAGACCCAATTTTCCACAGGGCTCTTTTACAGAGTTAGACAGGCCAAACCTGGGTTTCAATAAGAGAGCCGCCTATATGTTAATCTGGAAATTGGAGTTCCTGGGTCAAATTCACACGGATCTGTTTTTCAGGAAAAACTCCTGCTGAACAACATAGACCTTATAAATAACATTCACATGAAGCAGAGATGCTTTCTGCTTAAGGACTGGCAGTAACTCATGCTGGCTAATCATATTTTTTAATTGCAACAAAACACACATTCCTTGATGTTTGAATGTTGTCAGTAATCTGCACGTTAAGTGTTGAGCAACCTTTATCATTGATAATTGCTGAATAGATTCCCACAATGTCCAACACACACATTTATATTAATTTATTGTATTCTATTATGTAAGGATGGTGTTATGGGGCAGTTAGCTGAAGCTGATAGTTGCGTCTTACAGACATTTTGGGAAAGTGATCTCCAGAGGCTGGAGGAGAAAGCTGAAGGACTGATGCTTGGGATCTACTGGATACAGCTAAGGAGGAACGGAGACGGAGCAGGACCGTGGGGTTTGAGAACAGGACTGAGTTAGGCAAGCGCAGTCTCCTGGACCGAATCAGGCTGGGAGACTGCGTTACTGTGAGGGAATCTGGAGGTGGTATGGAGCCAAGCTACGGGGCTGAGGTCACAGGTTCTGGACTGGTTTTGGAAATCTTCTGACAGGTTTGTGCTGAATGAATCCTTCTTAGACACAGGTCAGTACTGAGCTGATGTTAGTACCGACTTCAGAAGCTGAAGGTCTAGCTTCTTTCATGGAAAAATACTAGCTACCAAACGGGCTACCTACAGCTACAGTGGTTTAATTGTTTGATTAATGTTTTTTTTTTAATTAGTGCTACTCTGCAGTCCTTGTTAATGCTTAAAGATGCTTTTGATAATAAAATGATAAAATAAAAAGTTATTATATCAGCACACCAGGGTTAATATTCCATCTCTTTCAAAGAGCCACGGGCTCCTTCATTGCCGAGTAGTAAGACCTCAGTTTAATGTCTCTGCTGAACAACAGCGCCTCCTACAGAACAGTGTCTCCTGTGTCACTATATTGGGTGGTAAAATTGCAAATTCAGGGCCAGAGGGAAGAGCTCCACTTACTGGTTTACCAACATCCCATACAGCAGCAGCTTGGTTTTCCTTAGAGGTGTCCCACCCCACTACAGCCCCGCCCTGCTGAGCTCCTGGGAACTGATGAGCTCAGGTCACACAGTGGGAACACTGCTCACAGCTGCACTGGAAATCAGCCTGCCACACATCTCTAATACCTGGATCATGGAGTCTGTACAACTGTTGACAAGTTCTGAGAAGAACATGTTACATTTTAACATTCACAATTCATCTTGAACCTGAGACCCTAAGTTAACTATTTTATAATTGACCTTGTGCAGACACAGTTTCATAACCCTCTGAGCTGGTGATTAATCCAAATCTTAAATCGTTTGTATTATCATGTGTACCGGTTCTTCTGTTCTTGCAATATGATGATTATTATTCAATAAACAGCTTAATTTAAGAGCTCAGGTGTGACATGTGCAGGCTCTGTGTCACGATCCAAAGACTTTGATTGACCTGTAAAAGAGTTACAGTAAATTTAGATTGGTGTGTATCTCACTGCCGAGAATTTGTTCTGCCTTCTAGTTTCTTGTGATCCTCCATCCGGCTAGCACAGCATAGGAGGCAAAACTGCTCCCCGGACGGCAGACTAGTCCAGTGCAGGGACCCACCTGACACGCACATACCCACCCAATTTAGTAACGTCAATTAAAACAGCATTCCTCAGTGAAGAAATCGTAGCACCCAGAGAATTAGCATGGATTCACAAGGGGATCATGCAAACTCTAAACATTCATTCCACAATCAGCCCCCAGACCTAAGTGCTAAGAAGCAGATATCCTAAGCACAATGCCATTCCTCTAGGTGAGAATGAAAATAACATTCTTAATGTGCCTGACATGCCCCATTCTCATTGCCTCATCCCTTCTTCTCTTCCATCAGTCTGGCACTGCTCTTGGTGTGAAGACCAGAAGGGTACTGGTGCCTGACTCCAGACAGGGGTTACTGAAGTATGACGAGCTGAGGTTTCCTCATGGTCAAGTGCACCTCCCGAGCTAACCCCAGCTACTCCCCAGGAAGCCCCAGCTACAGTGATGTGGTGGCAAAGCCTGGACTCAAAACTGCAACCCATCCAGCTCTTTGAGCAGAAGATTTCACTGACCCACAATGGTAGTCTTGGGTTTGTATTGAAAGAATTTGTTCAGTATTTCTTGATCATTGGAACCAATCAATCAATCAATCAATCAATCAATCAATCAAAGTTTATTTATCAAATGCACAACAATACAGCATGCACCAGTAGTTGCTGGCAATGAAATGTCTTTTCTATGAGCTCACCGGGGGGGGGGCTGGTCTGCCCATGCCTTCAGAACACAGCCAGGAATGCATCATGGCCAGGAGCCTGGTGTGGATTGCTCTTTTTAGAAACTTTACACATATCCGCTCTGGATATGATCAGTGGGTTTCTGTCTTGGATTTCAGGAATCCTCCTGGCTTGATCAGCGTTACTGACCTCAAACCGAGCATAGAATGAGTTGAGGTCATCAGGAAGAGAGGCAGACTGTTGTGCGATATAGATGGATTGCGTTTTGTAGTCTGTAATGGTGCGTATACCACTCCACATGCTCCGTGTGTTGCAGCCATGATAATATGACTCTAATTTAACTCTATAGTTGTATTTAGCTATTTTGATGGCTTTCCTGAGGTCATATCTGGATTTTTTGTATCTATCCATATTGGCAGAATTGAAAGCAGCTGTCCGAGCTTTAAGTTTGGCGCGTATCTCACCATTTATCCATGGTTTCCGATTTGGATACGCGTGAACAGTAATCTTGGGAACCACATCTTCAATGTATTTACTGATGTAGCCAGTGACATAGTCCACATATTGATTGATATTATCTGTAATAATTATCAGCCTGTATGCGGACAGATTATGATAAATATTATAATAATTATAATATTATAATCATTATCTGATATTATTATATTGATATTGATATTATTGAATCCAATACAATGGAAGCCTTGGGTTCCAAGGATCACCTCCTAGTCTGTTACAGTGGATTCCCAAGTTGTCTTAGAACAAGTCGGTCTCCCTCTGAACCTTCTTAAGCACAGCAAGTGCTGGGAGCACGCCCCCCTGGATATATTTCATGAATGTTTTGAGCATCTCCTTAAATTGAACCTCATTGTAAGGGACTGTACGGGATTTTTCTTCAGGTAAGACCACATGAGTCTCACAGACGTCTCCAAACACCCCCATCTGGAACTGCAGCTTGAACCTGAACTTCGCAACAAAGTCTGTATTATTTATCATCAGGATTTTCTCCCCTTCCCCAATCTCTATGATCCTTCGCTTTCTGGTTTCAGGATCTTCAAACACCAGACAGTGCTTAGCCACCAGACAGGGGCACAGTTTGTGCTCCTTAAAGTTTATGATTGAGATCCTTGCTCGAATTAACCCCATCTTCTCCTCCTCACTGATGCTTTCTTTCAGGTGAGGGACTTGGTCCCTCCCCCACTTCTCCAGCATTGACCTTTTCCTGTGATGGTTATTCTGCTTCTTCTGAGATATCTTTCCTGTCCCTTTGTTGATGCCTCCCTGTTCCTCTGCCTTTGTCACCGCACAGAGACCATTGGTTGAACATGACTTACCCTCTGGAAATGGGCTTTTCCTGGTGTACTCTCCTGGCTGGTACCCGACATCTACAGCAGACTCACTTGCTGTCTCTTCCTCACATTTTCCAGAGAGCTTGCCAGGGCTGATGCCACAGGGCGCTTTTGGCACAGACTCTCCTGGAATGCAAAACCTGTCAGAGTTTATGAGAGACGGGTCATCTTGCTGGTTCTGCCTCACCCGAAAAAACTCCTTCAGGATGACCTTGGGAAATTTAACCTGGCGGCCCTCCAGGAATTTCTTCAGCTCCTGATTGGAATCCAGCATATAGGCGGTGCTCCAGTTTAAAATTAAACTGTTTTTTAGCTGCACGTGTCTCAGATCCTTTTCCAGTTTCTCCATCTCTCCATTCTCCAGCTTTTCCCTCAGTTTCTTTATTAATTCTTCACCATTCCCTGGCCTGTCCACGTATTCCTCCATCTTCGAGAAGGTGTAACCACCTGGAAGAGCAACAGAGAAACAGATAAGAAGTAAAAAAATGCAGGTACTCTTCCTAAATGGTTCTTGAATAGAACTCCCACTTGACTGGTTAACTGATTCTTCATTTCTGCGATGCCACTTTTGCAGACTTAATTGCAGGATTGTCTATTTGTTTTAAAAAACATGAAAATGTGACTCGTTTGTCTGTTCCTATCTGTCGCAGGTGCATATGAATGGTATTTCTAACATGGAAGCTTGAACATAAAAAATGAAAAAGCCATTCAGCCCCTCTAGGTAATTTGTTTGCTAGTAGGTAATTTATGTAAGGATCTGCTGTTTCACAGTAGCTGTTAAAAGTTGTTCCGTACATTGTGTATTATTTTACAGATGCAGTTTAATGAAGTTTAATACAAGGTGTTGGGAGGCTTGATTCTTTCATTCTCACACAACCATCAAGAGCTGCTGGAATTCTGAACATACAGTGTTTCTTTTACCCCAGGATATTACAGCCCCACTAACTCCACCCACTAACTCCTTCTCTCTCCTTCCCAGTGCTTCATCTGTACTGTAAATCACAAGGTGCTTGCTGTGAATGGGAGAGAACGGGTCTCCGAGAGAAAACTGAGTAACTGGAGCACTGTGGAAAAGCAGATGACCCACCAGAGGGCGGCATTGAGACATTACCAGGAATACATTCTCTGCATTCTCAGAAGGCAATTAGGGAACCGTCTGTACCTGGGGAAGTCTGTCTAACCAGACTCTCACAGTCATTCAGGAGATGCAGCTCATTCCCCTTCCCAGGTTTATTAAACACTCCAGTGCCTTAGATTTTCAGAAATAACAGGAATCATTGTTATGTTTTCTCTGAAAACAAAAGGGTGAATATTTGACAGTCATTTGCAGAAAACACATTTTTGTGCTTGCAGTAAGTATTTAGGACATGTGACTGCAGGTTTTGGTGGAACTCAAGTAGATTGGTCATCAAAGAGAAATATCAGGAATAAAAATCTGGAGATCAAATACATGTCTAGCAAATTGAGGTTTGTAGTCAAGGTGTTAGAGAAGCACTGACCTGACCCTTATTCCCAAATGATGTGCTGTGCTACACTGGTGTCTGTTTTCCCATGTAGAAACATTAAGTGCTGAAGAAACACAGGTCTCTTTCAATATCTCTGCAGACTTACTCAGGCCAAGAGCTGAGTCCACATCTTCTTCTCCCTGAGCCTGAGCCAAACTTGATCCAGGGGATTTCCTTTCTGCAAGAAACACACAGAAAGTTCTCCATCCACAATAAGATACCTGCCTTTAAGATGATCTCATTAAGAAATATGTACAGTACATGCACAACACAAGACAAGCAGATAGGTCACAGATAGCAGTTACATCACCCTAATGAAATGTAAAAAATCCATCATGTCCAAAACAGTGGAAATATGCCAGCATGTAGTATGTCTAGTAATTTCTGAAGTCTGTAAAATAATAGCAAACCGGACCTTTTTCTCGCTGTGCTGTGGGAAAGAAGGCTTATGCAAGAGACTGCTGAAAGGAAGCCAGACACAGAGATGCCACAACACTGCCACCCTTCATCTCATACATGTGACTTCACCTCTTATATGTGATACCATGATTGTACAGTTTTTATGTCTCAATTTCCTTTTCCCACAAACATCTCATTCAGTGTCAGGTTTTGAAAAGGTTCTGCAAGCCTGAGTTGCAGCAGTGAAATCAGGAACATCACCTCAAACATCAACGATGAACCCTTTTTTTCCCATTTTTCCTAGCCAATGTGTCTTTCAAAGACAGTAAGAAACAAGAGCTCCAGGAGAAAATGCATAGGAATATGGGGAGTATATGCAAACTCCAGACCTAACTAAGCTATCCCACCCCAGAATCCTGGTAATTACTAACTGCTACAGCACCCTAAATCTGTTACATTCCTGGTCATTTCTTAGACACCCAATTGATCCCTATTCGTAGCGCACTAGAAAGCATTTGTGTTCAGTTTATGGCATAGCTGCTCTGAGGAATGGCAGGGATCTAGTTGCACAAATGAACATTTACTCTCATTGTATCTCCAAGTTGTCTGCTGTACCCAGAGGTGCAGCTGAAAACCTTCAGTGACCTCCAGTGGCCAGTTTGTGTAATCACTCACTCAATTCTGCCCCACTTTGAGACGCTCTGTTCAAATATAGAACATGACTTTAATTTTTACTGTTTTAGTTGCTCACTTGCTGGGACGTCATCTATGCTGCTGGATCCCTTTCTTCTCCTCGGTTCTGCAAAAGATTGAAAGAGGAATCAGCATTTTTCAGTCCTGATTGCTTGATTGTTCACATTGCAGTGCAATCAGCTACGCACCTATGCCGCCTCATTCTGAGTGCGGTTCGCCAGACAGGAGTGTTTGGTGTGTGTGTATATAAATAAATTTAGAATAATATAGAATATAAGGTCATAGTTATCATTAGATCTATCCACATGTTGATTTTCCTGCAGCCTTTTGTATGGAAGTGACGACCCCTGCCTCATTACTTTATTTAATATTTCACATTTTCACATCAGAGAACATTAATAAAACAGATAATTAGAATTAAGGTCACTAAGCTTATTTTTAACATAAAGCAGGCTGAGCAAACCTGCACAGAGGGTGAGGGACTGAGAACGCAAATAAAAACGGTGAAGGGCAATCTGTTTTATTGGACTGACCTTGTGAGCTGATGGATTGGTCTTTTAGCAGAGCTTTTCTTTTTAGTTCACGAGCTGAAAATGAAGACACACATGCCTAAGTTATAGTCACATTAATAAGAAACAAATGACCCTTCTCACAGCAGGCTGTCAAGATGAGCCAAATAAGCAGCGAGAGTTTGGCATCAGAAGACTGAATGAAATCCTCATGTTTCAATATGCACCCAAGATGTGAGGAATTATAGAGGTATACAGTATTTGTGTTACTCAGTTCTTGATATTTAACATATTAAATATTACCATAAACGTACTGAGTTTGTGCATCCTAGTTTGGCAGAAAATATTCGCTTAAAGGAAATATGCAAATATAATTTAGAATTAAAAAAATATGACATCAGTGGAATAGGGTGAATACTGCATGTATTAGAATCTATATATGTAAATAGCATTATTGTCATGCCTGGGCTGGGACCGGCTGTTGTAAGGGGTCACCTGAACATTCACACAAACTCTCAGGCTTCCTCCAAGCCCGTGCAAACAAGGTAGGGATGTCTCTCAATTACACCCAGTATCTTTCAATCTGGCAGTCAGTCAGATTGTCCCAATCTACCTAATTAGTTGCCTAATGAGCTCCTAGCTAACTCTTAGCTATGAGTCACCCATGCAAGCACACACGTCACTCTTCAAGCAATATTTTCCTGACATGCTCACCTACAGATTCTTCTGGAGCATTGACTAAACAAAGTTTGAATTTTTTCCCAGTCTCCGCCAGCTCATGTATTATTCCTCTGTGGCTGTGACTGTCCTCAGGGAGCTTCACATCAAACCCACAGCTCTCTCCTGCCTTCCCAGCTCAAACTATTTCACTCCAGCACTCTCC